AGGTCCGGAAGCTGGCGCGTCACACGTATTTCTATGGTTTGTCCTTGAAACGTCATGAACGCTAGTGACTCCTTGCATCAGTGGAGTGCTTCGATACCAATGTCCATTCGTACGTATATGAGCTGAGGTTTGGAGGCGTCCTGCTCGGACGGGTAGACTTTCCGCACCGGCCCTATAGTCTTTGTCGCGGTGTCCTCTGGATAGCAGTACACATCCACCAGTACGTCTAGGCATCTTATCCAGAAGTACTGCTTCTAGTCTGCCCTTCTTGCCTCTAGGATCTCCGCCGTCGTCATCCAAGGCTTGAAGGCTATGGAGTGCCATCGTCCTCGGAGTTCAACCGTCGCTCCCTGCTCGTTCTTCATCCAGTTCGCAACTTTCTGGTCCTTGGCAATGTAGGAGAGTACATTAGCCTCGGAGTTCAATACAGACTCTACCCTTTGTGATCGAGGGGTCAAACTCTGGTCCACTAGCCAAATGTCTTCATGAGCACGGATTACTTCCTCCTTGATTTTCTTCGGGAGATTCTTCCAGCCTTCTTGGAAGATCACTGTTACTGTCCACCCAGTTTACCTTGATTTCATCGAGAGATGGATTCAAGGTGAAGTAAGCCTTCGACCTTCCTCTCTCGTTTCTCCTATGTCCCAGCCTGTGGGAAGAATGCCTGCGTCAAAACATTTAGCGAGCATGTCTTGAACACGATCCTCCTCCGCCCAGTAATTTGTGACTGCTGGGGGGGGGGTCTCGATTCTGTTGACGTCCAACATCCTCCTCTGCTCCGGGAGTCCCTTGGGCCTTGGCTTCCTTGCCTATGTCAACTCCCACCATTCCTACAGCGTGCCATGGACCCGGAGCCCGGTCGCCCCCTTGACCTTTGTCAATCCCCATGTCGATACTTCCACTTGAAACTTGTATTCTCCTTCTTGTGTTCTTTCTCCGCCTCAGAACGCTGTCAAGAGACAGCTACAGTGTGTGATGTACAGTCTCTTCCGGACATCTTATGGACATCTTACAACATCATACCTCGGGAGTTGCCAGCGGGACAGGGCTGGATGCGAGGGCCATGGTTGGCGGACATGGCCACCTTGCCACGTCGACGATACCTAGCACTCCACAAGGTCTGCGCATGCTAGGTCTGGGGGTGCTAGGCGTCCAGGCCGGCTGACACCGACGGGTCGCGAAACCGAGAGCTATTTTTGCTCCGTGAATCGGTACCTCCCATCCCAACACAGCCTTTCTGGAAAGAGGATTGGCGGACACAAGTACCAGACAACTTCACGATTTCAGGCAAACATGGGCCGTGGATTTTCGCAGCGAGCCATCCAGGGACGGTGAGAGTCACTGGCTGCCACACGTGATTGAAAACCCCTGCTACACCGAGGCAAACGCCGCTACATGTAGTGGGTCCCGACCCCTGGCGCACACTTTTCGCGTCTCACAAGATCTTGGCATGAATCTACCGACGAAAACATTATGGTCCAAATGCAGTCGTGAAGGACATGTGTGCTTTGAAGAGCACTGAGTCCCGAGAATAGGGTCTGGATGGAGCGAACTTAATGCTCGGTCGTAAATTCCACAGTAGGAAGGCAGTGGTTGGAAGGCAAGAGGGATGGTGGGAGCGTTACTTAGACCTGGACCTCTCCTATGTCCACAGTCCCGACAATAGGGACTGAATGAGAAGGAATTGGTAGTTTAATGGTAATTGTAGCCTGCTGGAGGTACTTGCCGGCCCGTCATAGGTCTGGATCAATAGAGGCGCCTGTACATTAGTAGAGTGAAGAGAAGTATAGCTGTTTTGGTAGTGTTTACAATAGTGTTAGTATAATTGTTCGTGATAGGACTGTAGCTAGGTGGAATAGGCCCTCAGTTTTTGTTTAAGGACGGTAGTTAGGYGGAATAGTCCCTAYCCCACACAGGTTAGCARTCAATTCCCTATAGGATTTTKTTAAGCTAGATAGAAACATAGAACCCTCTGTAGGACTAGRCAGAGTWGGCTGTAGCCCTAGGAACTACGCAGCCAACGAGCTGCTGGGTCTGTAGGAAAARACCTGCAGGCTTTTAGCCTGTAAGCTAAGCTGGATGATGCTTCCAGATATCTGATTTGAACCGGGAAGTAATGTAGAGGACCCCGGCCTCTGAATGTTTTGCATAATTGAAACTGAATTTTGAGGGGGGAAAAAAAAAAAGAAAAAAAAAAGAGCACTGTGTACCCATGCAATCGAGTTGTTGGTTTCACACGTATTTTGATGATGTACTCATGCAATCTTTCCTCTATGTACGCTGTCGTAGATAGAGGCAGACCTACATCCGCGTGTCTCATAAGACGTCTCACAAGATCTTGGCATGAATCTACCCGTGGAAAGGTCGGCGATCGTTATGGTACCCTGTCAGGCGAATACTTTTTTTTTTTTTTTTTTTTTTTTTAAAGCCCAACCAAAAAGGCGAATACTTTTGTTTTCGCAATCGAAATAGGAAAAAGGAAAGTCAAGAAAAGTTAGAAAACCATTTCTTGGTTTCAGACCGTTGAACTACCTCAACTAAACGACGTAAGTGGGACAGATATTATCTTTTGTTTTCTTTTTCCCTTGATTTATTCTCCATTTATGCGTGTCATCCTTGCGCAGGGGCCATGCTACGTAATGTTCTCTGTATCTTTCACCAAGTGAAGTCCCGAAGGACTGGCAATCGGACACGTTGCAGCGCAGGCGACGTGACCGGACGGCTGGCAATCGGACACGTCGCAGCGCAGGCGACGTAGGAGTAGCATTTCACACGCGATCTTTGTCCTGCCATGTGCTGTATTGGAGGGGTCCGAAGTATCATCGCAGCTGTGAGGTCGGGGGACTCTACAGATTCGCACGCCACCAGGAAACCCCCCCCCCAGTTCTGCCATGCGCTGTATTCGAGCCGTGACGGGGGCGGGAGGAGGATCATCGGCAGGCCTTTGAGGTGGGCGGACGGGTGACGAGGAGGAAGGGGAGGGGCACGGGGATCATCGGCAGGCCTTTGAGGTTGCTGGGCGGGCTCTGCTGATTCGCCCTCCAATAGAACATACTACTACTCAGTTCTCCAAAAGAGTGTCTGGCTACGAAGGAGTAGAGAAGCGAGGCAAGCTGACAGGTCTCCAAGAGAGTGCCAGCTGACGGCTTTCCAAGAGAGTATCTGGGTACAGAAGGGTATAGAAGGGCAGGTGGCTGAGTGCTCAGTGGTGAGGGGTGAGACTGAGGGTGTGTCTACTCCGCCAGGGGAAAGTTCGGGGGATGGTGGGGGCGAGGAGCAGAGAGAGAAGAGGGAGGGTCTGTTCAGGGAAGGCGGTGCCAAGCTAGCGGACAGGAAGCGGAAGAGACGAGAGGCCACGTGGCGGAGAAAGACAGGGAGGCCTACCTCCCTCGCCTGCCAGCATGGCACCCGCTGCTGCCGCAGCTGCGGCGATGGCAGGCGGCTATGCAGCTCAACAGCAGCAGCAGCAGCATGACATGATGAACAAGGAGGAGGAGGAGGAGGAGGAGAAGAAGGGGGAGGAGAAGAAGGGGGAGGAGAAGAGTCTACTGGCCTCTGGTCCTCTTCGTCTGGTTGTTGCGCTGCTTTACTTGGCTTCTATCGTGGAATCTTTGACTTTGCTGATGATTCCGTCTGTGCTTCTTGAACTCCGAGCTGCATTCGCTCTGTCTGTCTTCCAGGCTGGCTTGCTTACGTCAGTCAGTAGCTTCCTCGCTGCCGCCTTCTCTCCCATCGCCGGCTATGTTGCGACCTTCGCTGGTCGAGTCCAGGTCATCGTGGTGGGGGTGCTTTGCTGCGGGGTGTCCAGCCTGGTGCTGGGACTCAGCCAGTCGTTCACCCACGTGGCGATCTCCTGTGCAATCAGCGGGCTGGGCGTCTGCCTCATCTCGCCAGCTGTACGGGCGATGCTGGCAGATGTATATCCTAAGGAGCAGAGGGGGAAAGGGTTCGGGTTACTCGCGATGCTAACTCTAGCGGGAGGTATGATAGGGATGACAGTGGCGACGATGATAGCTAACAAACCGGTCCTAGGATTTCCTGGGTGGCGTATGTTCGCGTTCTTGCTCGCAAGTACGTCTTTCTGTCTGGCAGCGTGCGTGCACGCCTTGGGCCTCGATCCCTGTGTCTTTTCGCCTCATGATCATCATCAGCAGCAGCGGCAGCAGCAGAAGCAGCAGCAGCGTGATGATTGTCGTCATCGTCCTCACGACCGCCATAGCCAAAGGCATCAGGAACAGCTGTCCCCTCGCGTCTTCGTGGCGGCCGCTCCCAGCTCCTCGCAGAGCAGCAATGCTGCATGGAACGCCGTGGAAATCCTGGACTCGAATACCGCTGTCGCGAACGCGAACGTGGCTGCAGCCATCGCATCGTCGGATGGGAGAAGGGGCGTCGAGGAGGAGGAAGACGAAGAGCAGCAGAAGCAGCTGCACCAAGGGCAGCAGCAACCGCGTGGTGCCATCAGGGAGAACACGTCGGGATCGGGAAAGCTGGGCGAGGAGGACACGTTGCAGCGTCAGAACTTGCGCGACGTGCTGGTTGTCCCACCTGTACACGTTGCAGCAGCTGCCGGAGGAGGAGGAGGAGGAGGAGGAGGAGGAGGAGGAGGAGGAGGAGGACGAGGACGAGGACGAGGAGAGGGAGAGAAGGAGCGCAAGCAGACGATGTGCGGAGTGTTGAAGTCCAGCCTGGAGAAAGTCTGGACGGATCTACGAGAAGCCATCGCGATCCCGACTATCCTTCTCGTCTTGCTCGCCGTCGCGGCTTCCTCGATCCCGGGAAGAGTGCCTTCTCTGTACGCCATGTACTTCGAGCTCTCACAGTTCTCTCATGCCGACGCTGCGAGCTTGATGCTCGTGTTCGGCTTATCGGTCGGCGCAGGGGCGTTTCTGGGGGGATGTATTGGGGACCTGATGAGTCGACTTATGCCGGACGCAGGCCGTGTGCTGTGCGGGCATTTCTCGGCCTCCACGTACCCTCTGCTGCAGTGGTGGATGCTAACGGGGCTGCCACGTGGAGGAGGTGCGCACTGGGCTAGCTACGCCGCCCTGCTCTGCCTGTCGGGACTGACAGGCACCTGGTCGGGGGCCGGAATGATAGATCCCCTCTTGGCGGAGGTGAGCCCTCGGCCGCTGCTGACCTTCGTGTACGCTTGCGAGTACGCCGTGTCTTCTTTGGTGGGTTCACTCGGTGGGCCGCTGGCAGGAGCGGCCGCAGAGATCTTCGGTTTCGATGCCGCCACAAAGAAGGAGGTGGACCCCCATCACCATCCAGATACACATGGGAGGAGGAGAATGAGAGTACTGCTCTCCACAGGGAACGAGAGTAAGGATCTCTCAGACGCCGACGCCTTGTCCAAGGGTCTCGTGCTGAGCATCGTCCTCCCCTCTCTGATCAATGTCTCTGTCTACTTCATGTTGTATTGGTTCTACCCTAAGGACAGGGATCGTGCCCTGACGAGGGTCGAGGAGGAGGAGGAAGAGAAGGAGGAGGAGGAGGAGGAGAAGGAGGAGGAGAGAGTACGTCAGGGTGATCGACAACCTCTCCTCCGACCAATTGGCGTAAAGAAGAACGTATCGAACGTCTGACAGTAGGAACTGTCAATCAATCCCTTTCCGTCCCCGCTTCCACCCCTGGGGCGAGGTGCCACTAGCAAAGGGGATTGGATCGAACGCCCGAATCTGGACTTGTTTGTGGAAAGGTGCAGAATGTGGCGATTGAACTGCTTTTCTGCATCTCTGCTAAAAACACGTCCAGATTCAGGATATTTATCCAATCCTCTTTGGTAGTGGGACCTCGCCCCCGGGCACATCCGCCTCGGCCCGGCGAGTGACTGCTTGCCTGCTGCCTCCCTCCTTCGCTCCCTCCCTTTGTATATGTGACCTCCGTTCTCTGGTCCCTCGCACTCTTTTCCGTTCGCATGAGTGGTGTGACGACGAGGCGCCAAGTCTTTAGTCCATTCTAGGCGAGGCTTTACCCATCTATCTCCCCCTATTCGTCTTGTCCTACGTATCTTCATGCGCAGTACACAGGTTGGCAGATGGTGATCAAAATAAGAGAAACGGATTAAAGCGAAATACCAACGGCCCCCAGCTCAGTTGCTACACCCATGAACTGATGAATCACAGCCCGATGTTCGAATCCAGTCAAGGCCGTCGCCCGAGGCCGTACCCATCGATCCCTCTTCGCCTGCCTATCTTGATGGACAGTACACAGCTACGGTAGGCAGATGGTGAAGAGGGAGGTAAGATAAACGGATGACAGGGAAATACCAACGGGCCTTCCTCAGTTGGCACACCCATGAACTGATGAAATGAAATGCAGACCTATGTTCGAAGTCCAGACTCGATCAGATGAAATCTGGGGCCGGTCAGCTCAACGACGATACCTCAAGGTCGTCGTATATATAGATGTATATATCGTCATATATATCGTCAAACAGAACTGCCCGGTAAACCGTAGGCAGAGACGGAGAAGAGGGCAACAAACGAGGGGCTGTGACAGACTGTTTGGTCGGACTCATATATAGTATATATGATTTATATATTGTCAAACAGAGCTGCCCGGTAGAAGGGGTGGGAAATGCATTCTTACAACCGTCTTCCCCCAAACACAACGCACCCTGATAACGAATGTACACAAGCTGTCTTTCCGGTCCGGTGCAGCCAAAATGAGGGTGCGTTATGTTCGGGGGAAAATGGTAGTGGTTCTCCCTCCACAATTCTCCCCCCCTTCAACGCACGAACTCACACACACGAGTCGGTGAAAGTCCGACGAAACTGTCTGTTCGGTACAGTCATGCGTTTTTTGAGTGTATAGCGAATATGACAACACACAGAGGGACACATAAACTTCTTCATTCCTGGCTTTCACCGCTCCAGCGTTTCATCTTGTATCATGTATTTATCACCCAGTCCACCTGTCTATTTAGACTGATTCTGTGCGGGTCATTGCACTCATCTAATTCCATGCTACGTTCGAACGAAGGCCTGTGTTTCAAAAACAGTTACTTGGGTGTACCAATTCAGCCTACTGATCCATCTGCCTTTATCTACCCATCAATCCATTTCTCTTTTCTACAAAAGCATTTGAGTACCGTGTATGTCTGCCTCCATCATGTACGGACCTCGGCGCTACTGTCTAGCCATGGTTCGTACCTTTGATCACTGGGAACTGTGCAACAAGGGACTACTGGGACTTATGTGGGACAATGACACGGCTGGGATCTATGGAACAATGACACCATTTGTGGGACAATGACACCACCTGTGGGACAATGACACCACCTGTGGGACAATGAGACCAGTGAGAAACGATGGGACAATGGTAACACTGGGAACTGTGGGACAACAACGCCACCGGGAACTGTGGGACAACAACGCCACCGGGAACTGTGGGACAATGACATCATTAGTGCGAATTGTGGGACAATGACATGTTTTCTGGGGGACTGAGGGACAAGGACATCGTCTGTGGCATGCTGAGACCATCCCACGCTGGGCCTTGATGCTCGGGCATTTTCTTCAGAAGGCCCCTCCTCCGGTGGGACCCTTTGGGGACCTTACAATCCTGAGACCGCACTCACACGAGTATTTTCCTCGGTGCATGCACCTGGCTGGATTTGCGGTTTGTTCTGCATGCATCTGACCTTGATTACATCCAGATTCCAGATCTGAGTCAGAAAAGTCCGAGTTTGATTATGCCCTGAGAGGTTCTCAGCCGTCATAAGGGCTCTAGGTGAGTGAATTTCAGGCAGGCATGTGGATTTTTATTTTTTTTTTCACATGTGGACATCGGAGTTCTTTTTTTTCTTTTTGTTGCAGTAAATTTGTACACTATTTCAGACATACCCCTCGTCCGCCTGGCCCCTTTGGGGGCCTATGGCAGGCTGAGAGGGCCCTAGGTGAGGGAGTTCGGGTGTGCCTAGAGGTTTTGCCCGTCTTGGTTGGCCCCTTTGGGGGCCTATGGTAGTCAGAGAGGGCCCTAGGTGAGTTTTCTCAGCTGAAGAGAAAGGGGCCAATAGGTGTGTAACGTGTGGGAATCAACAAAAAAGTTTGGGAAAAGTTCCGTTTTTTTAATGGTCTAGATACTAGATAGTCAAAGCATTTAGCGCTGTTTGTTTTGTAGTAAATTTGTACACTCTTTTGGACAGGCACCAGGTCCACTGAACCCCTTTGGGGACCTATGGCACATTGAGAGGGCCTCAGGGATGATGAGAGAGGGCCCTAGGTGAGTTCGTTCCAGGGGGTCTAGAGATATTATCTGTCCGAGTTAATTTGATTCATTTTATGGTTGTTTTGTTTGCTTTGCTGCATATTCTGTTGATGTCAGTTTTTTTTTTTTTTTTCCCCTCTTCTTCTTTTGGGGGTCAATTTGGTTCTGAGGGACCTAGGTCAGTGAGTTTCAGGCAGGTGTGTAGATATTTTGAGCCTCTCAAAACACGGCGCACGAAATGAAAAAGAAATGAGCGAGGTCGCAGACCAGGGGGCCTGGGTGAGTAGGTAGGTGAGCAGGTAGGACTATGGCCTCATTTCTGGGCCATTGGATCTTGCTTTGAACTGATAGCCTGGGAGAGAGGGGCCATAGGCTCTAGCCGCCGGCGCAGTAGTACTAGGCAGAGGCCGGTCCAGTGGGTTCACGTGTTTCCACCAGGCTGCTGGTCTAGTGAGTGCAGCAGCCTAGCTGTAGAGTACAGTAGCACTGAGTAGAGGTAGGAGGGGCAGAGGTGATAGTGGAGTCCAGTTAACTGCCACCTGACATAGCGGGACCTCTTTTCTGAGATACCTCTGCAGTGCATCAGCAGCTCAAGGCTCTGCCTTTCACAGGTCAGTATCTCACACATACACACACACATGGAGAGAGAGAGAGAGAGAGAGAGAGAGAGAGAGAGAGAGAGAGAGAGAGAGAGAGAGAGAGAGAGAGAGAGAGAGAGAGAGANGAGAGAGAGAGAGAGAGAGAGAGAGAGAGAGAGAGAGAGAGAGAGAGAGAGAGAGAGAGAGAGAGAGAGAGAGAGAGAGAGAGAGAGAAATTTGGCAGTGTCTTGTTGGGAGCTGAGCTCCCCAAGTTGAGATCTGGGACTCGTTGGTGTGGACTTCTTTTTTCTCTATTTCCTCCTCCTTGGTCTTTGCTTCTCCTTCTTTGTCTCCTTCTCAGTCTTCTTCTTCGTCGTGTTCTTTGTTCTTGTTCTTGTTCTTCTTCTTTTCTTCTTCTTCCTCCTCCTCCCTCCTCTCCTCCTTTCTTCTTCTTCCTGTTCTTGTTCTTCTTCGCAAGCAGACGACTTCCTTCTTCTACAGCTGGGAAAAATATTTTTACTTTTCTTCCTCTTCTTCTTCCTTTCTCTTCCCATCAGTCCATGTCTGGTTTGCGTCTTCAGCTATGTAGTGTCTCTTCTTCTTCTTCTTCTTCTTCTTCTTCGTCATCGTCGTCGTCGTCATTGTCGTCGTCGTCTCGTCTTCATCTTCGTCTTCGTCTTCTTTCTTGTCTTCTTCTTCCCGCTTGTCTTCTTCTTTTCTTCTTCTTCTTCTTCTTCTTCTTCTTCTTCTTCTTCTTCTTCGTCGTCGTCGTCGTCGTCGTCGTCGTCGTCGTCTTCTTCGTCTCATTTGTCTTCTTTCCGCTTGTCTTCTTCTTCTTCTTCGTCTCATCTTCGTCTTCTTTCCGCTTGTCTTCTTCTTCTTCTTCGTCTCATCTTCGTCTCCTTTCCGCTCTTCTTCTTCTTCTTCTTCGTCTCATCTTCGTCTTCTTTCCGCTTGTCTTCTTCTTCTTCTTCGTCTCATCTTCGTCTTCTTTCCGTTTGTCTTCTTCTTCTTCTTCGTCTTCGTCTTTTTCTTCTTCTTCTCCTTCTCCGTCTCCTCCTCCTCCTCCTTCTTCGTCTTCTTCTTCTTTGTCGTCTTCTTCTTCGTCATCTTCTTCTTCTTCTCCTTGTCCTTCTCCTCCTCCTCCTTTTTCTTCCTCCTTCTCGGCCTCTTCCTCTTCTAGTCAGTCCGTGTCTGGTTTGAATCTTCTGCCGTTACATTCTCTTTCCCATGTTGATAATCCTTGAGACTTTTTGTTGTTGCCAACGTTCACCAGGGGCTGTGGGACAATGACATCATAACTGGGGACTGTGGGGCAATGACGTCATAACTGGTGGCTGTCGGGCAATGGTATCATAACTGGCAGCTGTGTAACCATGACATCGTCACTAGGGAGAGTTGGACAATGTCATCATCATCAGGGATTGTGGGACAGTGACATCGTCACTGGGGACTGTGGGACAATGACCTCATCACTGGGGATCCAAGCTATGATGATTCACAATTCCACTTTTGATGCTTGTAAGGACCTGCCAAAACATGGACTGAGAACACAGCTGTTTTGTGAGTTTTGCCGCTGGAATGTATGCCGTGCTGAGATCCCCGCATTTTTGCTGAGTTTTTTAAGTGTGTGTGTGTGTGCGTGTTTGCTGGTCTGCGTGCCTGTCTGAGTGCTTGTCGGCCTGAGTGTGTGTGTGACCCGCAAGGGCACTTGTTTGTTTGGGAGGCCCTGCAGGGCCGGTACTTACCTGTGTCCGTGACTTTGGGGTTGCAGCGGGGAAAAACACTCGAGTGGCCGAAGGAATAGCTTAGGGCTCCCTCGAGTAGCGGTAGTGCAGGCCCGTAGGCACTCAAGTAGTAGGTAGGCCGGTACCACTCGAAGTAGCGGCGGATATGTCGGGAACTGGAGGCCGAGCAGAAGAAGACAAGAAGTTGGCATTTTTAGAGTCGCAGTAGCGGTAGGCTAGGTCTAGGCGGGTACCAGTCCAAGTAGTCTGAGCCCTAGGGTCTGTGCGGACGATATGAGGGCCCGCAATGATGTTTTCCTCGGAAAGGGAGGAGGTGCTGGTTGCTTGGAGGCTGCGATGCCTGGAAGTCATCCGCCCATCAGGGTAAGGCCCTTAGTAGTCTGCCAAAGCCTCGGCCTGGATGAAGAAAAGAGAGAGGTGCCCATAGTTGCGGTGGACCTCTTGTTGTGATGGCAGTAGAAGAGGGATTCAAACATTGATTCTGGTTCAGCCATTCATCATGGTTATTATTATTTAGTTTGAATAAGAGGAGAAGATAAGGAGGAGGAGTTGGTTGGCGAGAAGACGAGGGAATTATCATTGGTGCTGGTGTACATCTTCTTCTTCTTTCTTTCTTCTTCTTCTTTCTTTCTTTTTCTTCTTCTTCTTCTTTACCTCTCTCCCCTCTCAAGTTCATATACTTCTTTTCGCAATTGGACGGCATTGTGCTTTCTTGTGAATTTGCGCTTTGAAATTGGCCAGGATCATAACATGCTTCTTCTTTTTCTTTTTTTTTGAAAGAAAAAACTTTTTTTCCAAGGCTTCCATCCCTGTGCTGGTGAGAGAACCGCGGGGATTGAAGCCTTGGCTATCGTGCTGCTCCATCAATTGGTGGGGAGTGGCACCTGCGGGAAACCAGGTCCAGCTTCACTTGGGTGCAACATTATAACACAACGTGTTCACTTCTTATTGGTTTTGGGTCTGTAGCCTACACTCTTGCCGTCCACAAGCTCCCTATTACCCATGGGGCTGCCAGTGTTACCCTTCCCATTGAGGAGTTCTCTCTTTCCCATTGGCCCAGCCCTATTCGTGGGACCACCACTATTCCCTCTTATCCTGTGCCTCCCTCTTTCGTTCTTTTCTTTTAGCCCAACCCAATTCCAGGTATGTGCAGCCCTTCCCTGTGATTCTTGCAGCTTCCCCCCAGGAGAGCAGTATTTCGGCATAGGAGGGACTTTGGGGAAGATGGTAGGGATCCTTTCCCCTAAGCCCACCCTAAACCCTCCCTCCCTCATTCATCTTTGCTAGGCCTCTCTCCAGGTGGTGGTGAGAGAACCACTGGGATTGGGGTGTTGGCGGAGGGGTGGTGCTGCCATTGTATAGGCGGGGAGCCGCTGCTGTTGAGAGAGTGGGGCCTTCATGTAGCATATGCAGGCATGGAGTTCCTTGTCCCACCTTAAGATACCTCAGATGTTCCCACCCCCCGGGCTGGATTGCCCTCTTGCTGTGTCTTCCTCGGCAGTGGTGCCTCTTTCCTCGCCTCAGAAACCCCCTCTGCTTACCGCTGCAACCTTTGGCCCTTATCTATGGCTATGCAGCGGCTGGGCAATGTATGTATCCATAGCTATGCAGCGGCTGGGCAATGTATCCATATCTATGCAGCGGCTGCACAATGTGTCAGTACTCTGCAGCCCTCAGTTGAAGTAAGAATGATTCAAAATAGAAAAGTTAGAACAAAGGGGTAAGTTCAGTTGTCACAAAAAAAAAAAAAAAAAAAAAACTTCAGTAGAGTCACGAAAAGGAGTTATAATTGCACTATGGGGCAAGATACAGTTTGCAATTGCACTTCGGGCACCCTACCTGGCCAGAAAGCTGGGCTGTATACATTGCCCGCACTGCAATTCGAAACTGTATCTTCGTGCAATTAGAACTCGTTTTTGTGACTCCCGCATGGATTCCCCTAAAACGAAAGAATCAAAGGTTTAGCTTATGGAAAGCCTTCGGGCTGTGCTAGACAACCCATACTATTATGTGACAAACTAGGATGTGCACGTGCTCAATCTGGGAAAAGGCCTCATACCGGAGCTTGGTAGCGCGGTTGTCCCTCATTTTTGAAGCTTTTGAAATGTGTACCATACCTCAGGTTGTGGTGCAAGGGTGGTGATTCTGCAACTAGTAATTCAGTCTGTCCCTGCAGCGGGCCTCTGTAGGCCAGGGCCTATCTGGCCATTTTCCCTGTTTGGCCTGTGGGACCAGGCCGTGGCCTGATCCCACAGGCCGTGTTGTTATTCAGTCCAGACCAGTCCTGCCCGGTACCACTGTCAGTACCAGTCCAGTCCAGTCCAGTCCAGTCAGTCCGCTGGGGGTATACCCCAGCTGCAGTCTGTTTTGTGGCTCATTCTTCATTTTTGCACTATTGGAGTACGTGCGGTGTTGAGTCTGCGTCGGAGTTGCGCTGTCCCTTCCAGCTCCATCTTCACTTCCTCCTTCCTCAACCCCTTCTTCTCCATCCTGTCGGACCGCCATCCCTGTGCTGTCTTCCGTTCGGTGTGGCGACCTTTTCTTGCCTTTTGATTTACATAAGTCGGTGGGAATTTCTGGCACACCCCATTTTTAGTACTTTGGTGTGGCGACCTTTTCTTGCCTTTTGATTTTACATAAGTCGGCGGGAATTTCTTGCACAGTAACTTGGGTGAATTTTAATTTTTTTACGGTCCGCACTATAATATGCACATGTAGTTAGGATTTTTTTTCGAAAGTCTGAGTTACCTTTAAACCACCACCACCCTCGACAGTCGAAAACCGGCTTTCTGGGATCTTCAGCACCTGGCAAGTCCGAAGAAAGCAGAGGTCTAGTGTGGGGGCAAAAAGTTGCCAACTTGGCAAATTCGTTCGGGCTGCAGGGACTTTTGCTCAATTGATTCAAAAACATGAGGCAACCGTCAGGTTGCGGTTACCCTCAGGCGCGTTAGCGTCTAYAAATTCTCAATGTCGAGCTACCATTGGTATTGTTTCAAATGAGAATCATGGTAAGCGTAATTTTAGGAAAGCAGGGCAAAGTAGATGGTTAGGAAGACGACCCGTTGTTCGTGGTGTTGTTATGAATCCTGTAGACCATCCTCATGGAGGAGGAGAAGGACGTACAAAAGGAGGCCGAAGGTCCGTTTCTCCTTGGGGAAAACCAACCAAAGGTGGATTTAAAACAGTAGTAAGAAAACAAAAGAATGTCACGATCTATATGGAAAGGTCCATTTGTAGATGCTTGTCTGTTGAAAAAGCATTCGCGTGTGACTCGCTTTGAAGTTCGATGGCTAAATACATGGCAATCAAATCATAAGATGAGATCATGAAAAGCATACTACAAGTAGAGAGTAGAATTAACACCATAGATTCAAAAGCATTCAAAGTTTCTTGTTTGAAATAATCGAAACACATCAAAATGGTGCTGGCAGTACCAAACAATAGAAAGATTTTACAAAAATAGGTCAAATTATCTATGATTAGATTATTATAAAACAGATTAGCAGTGGTTAAAGGATTATTGATCAGCAATAGAATTGTCATCAAAACACTCAGTAAACCCAACCATCCCACATTACGCACTAATGGTGGATAATCATATCTTGTGAAGCAGGTCGCATATCATATCAAGGAATTGAAGCGGCGCGTCGTGCCATCACCAGGAAATTTCGGAGAAATGAGGCCAAATAGCTCCAATTTCTACGGTAGGCGCAACACTTCTTTATTTACGAAGAGCTTGTAATTTCATTGAGTATATAATTCGGGATTCTCTTTGTCGTAAAAAAAGGTGTAAACGAATGAAAGCTAATAGAGAAAGATTGACACATTGGCTTCTTCAACGGATTACTGCTGCTTTTTTAATTCCAACTATACTTTTAGCAAATGTTTCCACTTTGATCTTGTTAAATATCCTACTTTTTTGGCATATGCATGTAGGAATAGAGGAAATTCTAGCAGACTATATTCACCATGAAGTAACACGAAATTTTATTTTTCTTTTTTTGAGAGTGTTCCAGATGAAAGTAGAATAAGAGTATTTAGAAAGGGGATTCCCCAAGGATCTAACACATCAATACCTTTTGGAGGCTCAGAAGAAAGCTCCGGAAAACCGGAAAATTGGAGGGATCGTAGCATAGCTTTGCCAGACCCGAACCCGGTCATCACTGGACATCTAACCGGATGGATGTCTGGACCCGTCCGGATGTCCTTCTGGACATTTCCAGACATCCTGGACATGCTGTGGTCCAGACAGTCCGAACCATCTGGAATGTCTGCAAATGTCGGCAACAAGAACCTGAAAAAGAAAAGTACAGTAATATAAATTATCTTTCTATACTGCTTGTTGTATTCATAAGAGAGAATATAGTATAATAGATAATATAGTACTCTCTCTCTCTCTCTCTCTCTCTCTCTCTCTCTCTCTCTCTCTCTCTCTCTCTCTCTCTCTCGTGCGCGCGTGCGCTCGCTCGGTTGTGGCAGGTAGACCTGCAGTAGGAATACTAGGAAAGGAAGGGACTCGCTGGGGGGAGGGTAGGTAGGACAAGTTCCATTGGAGGATATGTGTGGGGGTTCCATTGGGGATGTCTCGGGGGTTCCATTGGGTAGGAGTATAGGTTGGACAGGCTATGGTGGAGGATATCGTTGGGGAACCTGCAGTGGAGGCTGTCTCAAGGGGTGAGGATTGTCGGCTACCTGTACCAATAAGAATGAAAGATCATAATAATAGTAGGCATAGTTCATGACAGAAGTTAGGGAACGGGCGATGGCCTGGTATGTACCGATGATGGAGAGTAGGACTGCTTAGCATAATAACCGGAGGGGCCTAGCTCATGACCTAGGTGAGGAAAAGCGGATGCTGGCCGCGAACCGACTAATGAGTCAAAGTAATGACAGAGGCTAGGGTTTCTCCGACAGGAATGGGGTCACCTATGGGACTTATAGGCTTTATGTCTTTCTAATCGAACTTTGGAGTTAGCGCGATAAGGAAGGATGGCTAGCTAAGGAGTGGAGTGCAGTTGAGGTGAGTGAGCGGCATCGAGAAGGCTCGATGAGTTGGCGGTGACTGCGACAGACTGCAGGGCAAGGGCGAACATGGCTTGCATAACCAGCCTAAGCAGGGTGATGACTTTGGGGACTGTTGGGCGCAGGACGACGAACTGTTTGCACTGAAGTTGAGATCAGATTCAGGTTGTGGTGTGTGTTTGTGTGTGTGTGTGTGTGTGTGTGTGTGTGTGTGTGTGTGTGTGTGTGTGTGTGTGTGTGTGTGTGTGTGTGTGTGTGTGTGTGTGTGAAGTTTCAAAGAGAGAAAGAATGGGTCATGTTTCTAAAGTTGTGATCTTGGCCTGAATGGAGTACCATCTTTTCTTCTCCTCTCCTTTCTTCCTTCTCGATATTTTGATGATATGCATGTAGTTGCGAGGAATGAGCCCTCGCGGTGGCCTTTAGGCCGAGGCACCCGACTGCCCAACGGGGCCCCCAGCATGCGTCGTGTCCGCCCTAAGTGAAGGCGGGCCTGCATTTGGACACA